GAAGAAGTAATCGAAGCTGTAAATGGTTATTTTGAGGAGCTTGACGAATCAGTCTATAGAGATGGCATTAATAGACTGGAACACCGCTATGAGAAATGTATCAGCCTTGGAGGAGATTATGTTGAGAAATAAAAAAAAAAATTTTTAAAAACCTTGTTTTTCTTGGTCAGGCCGGAAACTTATCAATCCACCCTCGTACATTAACGATAGGAACTTTGAAATGAAAATTAAAAACGGTATGTAAATCTAAATTAAATAAGAATAAAAATGAAACCTCTTCTTGCCCCTCTTTAGCGGCAATGTGTAGCGGAGTATATAAATCTTTTGTTGTTGCATGAGGATTTGCTCCATGTTGTAGCAAAAGCATAACAATGTCAACATTTCCTAATCGAGATGCAACGTGCAAAGGTGTTTGTTCTTCTCGAGCTTTTGCATCAACGGCTGCTCCATTCCTTAGTAGTATTCGTATTATATCTGTCTGTAATAAGAAGCAAATAGTTTATTACTTTTGAGTTTTGTTATGTTAAAGTATTTTCTTGTAACTGCCTTAGTATATATACTGTAAAATTACTGAGAAATGAGTTGATGCCGTCATTTGCATGTAACATAATTTTAAGACTAGTCAAGTACAGAAATACAACGACATTTTGTTTTTTATGTAAAAATCTACTGTTTAAGAAAAATTTGGCTTGAAAAATTATGTTTAAGTATATGTACCTGGTTTGCCCTCGCAGCTAAATGTAGAGCGGTTTCTCCTCGAACTGTGGGAACATCTGGATTTGCGTCATGTTGGAGTAGATATATTACAATGTTCATGCAACCCATAAAACTAGCAACATGTAAGGGAGTGAGGCCACTTTCGGTTGTAGCACCAATATCTGTTGGAAAATATTTCCTTACTGACTTAACAATTTTTAAGGAATCAGGCGTTCTTCGATTAAAAAAATCACTTTAATATTTTTTCCAATACATACACGCACGCATATTGTGCTTCCGTTAATGTTTCTTAGAGAATATATATTACAAACAAATTTTTACTCTCAACTTCGTCTACGTGAAGAAATATGTCCCGTACATATTCTATTATTATTACTGACACTGATTAAGTCTTTCATTAATTGTTTTTAATTACCGCTTAGAAGTGAAGTAGTTACGGTTGTATTTTACAAACCACATATATACTACTTATTTGTATTCATTCCTCAAATAAGGCAAACAATAGTTCTAATGAACATCGTATATTAATGAATTCAATGATTCTTATAGAGTGAATGCTTTAAGGTAATACTAAACTACAATTTCCTGTTTCACTTCACAAAAATATATAAATAAATCCATGAGTGATCCTGTGGCTTTAGATTTTGTTAAATAATATTGCCGTTATACATGAAGACTGATACTACATCTAGTATTAGATTAGTGTTACGTACTTGCACCATGTTTTAGTAAAAGTTCCACCATTTTAATCCTGTTTTTTTTACAGGCGATGTGAAGTGGAGTAAAACCGTTCAAGGCCCTTGCATTTGGATCAGCTCCTCTGTCTAAAAGTAATTTAGCAACTCGTACATGTCCGCAATGAGCAGCAACATGAAGCGCAGTGAGATAATCTACCGTTACTTCATCAACTGGTGCTCCATGATACAGAAGAATTCTAGCAGCATCAACATGTTCTCCCTGGGCTGCCATATGTAGTGGAGCAAGTCCATTCTACATATAAACAAATAAAAGTTGTATGAGTGCACTTCATGCCTTGACAAAATCCAGAAATTTAAAAAAAATGGTAAAGAATATTAGCTTCAGGTAAGGAAGGAACTACACATTTAGAGTTATTGTAAAAGGTATTAATTTCGGTATTTTTTTTTTAGCTCAGCATGGGATAATCTAATGAATGTAATGGTTTTTAACAAGTTCTGTTAATATTAGGCACGAATTTAATCAAAAACAGCATTAAGTCACCGCGTTCGGTAGCATCCAAACGATTTTTTTTTTTAGTTAACACAAATACGATGATGAGAATGCTGTCAAACACATCACAATCCAGGGCACATTGCGGGATTGCCTTTTTTCGTCAATTGTGGAATTCATGTCTGCCAATATCTTTCACGTGCAAGAAGAGTTACTTTTAAAATTTGCCGTTTTCGAGGTTTTATTATTTTTTTAAGTAGCACACAGCAGTAGGAAACAAAATAACATGGCTATTTTACGGTAAGAAAGCTGGAGCAACAATATTTTCAGGAGAGATAGCTATACCTTCAAGCTTCTCGTCCATACTTTCAAGGTGGGTTGATTATATACAGGGTGTTAGATATTTAAGGGCGGATTAGATTATCTTTAAACAATCGTAAGTTTATTTTTTTAAATGGAACACCCTTATGTATTTTCATAGTCTTATGCAGAATTCTATTCTCTTTCGAATGATACTATGGTACCGATCTCCTCTAATTTTCAAATTATTTGCTGTTCTTTGTAAAAGCAACTAAAATCGTTTAATCTTTCAAAGAAAATAGATAGACCAAATAATACAATTAATTGTTATCACTTAAACACCTCACACATTTTAGTAATTAAAAATTTTGATTCTCCATGTCAGTTATTGAATATTATTTTTAGAAAATAGAGAATAGAAAATTAAAATACGAAATACGTATTCGAATTAAGAAGAATTTTAAGAAATCAATTACAGTACGGCGAACTACAGATTATTCTAGTAAAAAAGAAACTAAACAATAAATAAAATTAAATAATTAACGATATAGACGGATAATAGTTTAATGATTCGTTATGTTTCCCATTTAACTGTAAGCAATTTTTTCAAATGATCTTTTGATTCTCTCCATGAGAATTTCTTTTGTATTAACCGTCCAAATTATTTGGATCTGAACCTTCTTGTGTTCGAGTCAAGATCGTTTTGCAACATCTCTGGGTTGAAGTGCACAAAGATAGTTGAACTTGAAAGGATATTACTTTTTAAAATATTTTGAAATGCTTAAATCCTGTTGCGCAGTGCGAATTGAAGACTCCGGAAATGCATGATAATATGTCAAAACATTTACTATGTTATCTTCTTTGGTAATACTTCTTCTGTTCGCAGAAATCCGACTGATTATATTCTCTATTAATAAATAATAAATTTAGAATGTAATAAACATAATATTCAATTTTGTTTCCAACACAAGAAGAATAATTTGGAGGGTTAATACAAAAGAAGTTCTACTTGAAATAATTAATGTTTTTAATAAAGCTATCTATCTATCTGTCTATTTTGTTTGCTATTTTGTCAAATCAACTGTTAGAATTATTTCAGCTCTACAAAATGGATATCTCAATTTTTTTGGAAAACTTTTTTGATCCTAAAAGCAACATAGCTTAGCCAACTTTCACCCCCGTTTTGGAGGGAAACCTTCTAAAACAAGTAAATTAATAGATTTTCCGAGAAAATGTTAGGTACAGTGACATTGAAGTATGAAACGAATAAACTCGCTGAAACAATCGAAAAGTAGAAAATACCACAAATGGCGCGGTAAACGCCATCTGTAGTACAATGCTACATTTTAGGTGTACGTATGCTCCAACAATGTCCATTTAAATATATTGGATATCTACTTGCTGAAACGAATACCGATGTACGCTATTCATTATGCAGGTCACTATACATTATCAGTGCCTCAAGTTTCTAAAATTACTAAGAGAGGGGTCACTCCGAACCTAGAATTTATCTATTATATTCATGTATATACATATATAAGACATGTCACTTAATTTTATTTTTCCTTTTTAGTTCACGTTTTTTTTTAAATAAAAGCTTAATATCACAATATTGCATTGTCACGGGACGTACATAAGTATGCTAAATTTCAGCTCAATCGGATAACCAAAAGTGGTCGAAAAATGGCTTGAAAGATTTGACGCGGACAATTTACATACGCACATTGCAAGTTAAATAAAAGCTTGTAAAAATAAAGGTACTTTACCCCTGAGCAAAAATTATATTTTTTAACATAGATCACATATCACTGCAGAAAAATTAATATTTGATTAGTCTAATTTGGGTTTTAGACCAAGCAAAACTTCTTATCAAGAATAACTCTTTTACAAAACCAATAACAAGCTTCCCGTATGGTGCCAACTACAATGTAAATCATATATTTTCTTGATTAACATAACAAATAGTACATATTAAAATTTCAAGAAAATCTGAGGTGTATATTNAAAGATCAATTTTTAAACTACGTACCTATATTTTTTTGTCAAAAATTTGCATTTAAAGATAAAAACATAAAAAATAATTATCTCAAAAACGGTTACCGGCTAGAGTATCATACGACCAAATTGATCACATATGAGATCTACTTTAACCCCTCTAAGGGAATATATCAAATTTCCTGTACCCCTATAACCGTTGTCTTAGAAATCCACGATCATGCGGACAATTGCTTTCTTTTTTAAACTAAAGCACACTTCAATTGAAAAATAGTAAAGTGTAGAAATACTAATAGACAGTGCTATAAATAAAATACCTTAGTTTTTGCATGCATTGGTGCTCCATTTTCCAGCAACATATCCACAACTTGGTCGTGGCCTGATCTAGCGGCACAATGCAATGGTGTTAGACCATCCCGTGTTTTTGCTTGAATATTAGCGCCTTTTGCAACAAGAAGAGAAACCATGTTGATCTTACCCCATTTACTTGCCACATGAAGGGGAGTAATATTATGTTTAGCTGAAAAATTTACATCAGCGCCTTTGTCATACAAAAGGGAAGCCACTTTGTCATTTCCGTAGTGAGCAGCTATGTGCAAAGGTGTAAATCCGCTTTTCGATGTTATATCAGGGTTATGGTCATTCTGCCAACAAAAACTATCATTAAGACGTATTATAAAATTCTTGCAGCAGAGTAACAGATTTTTTAAATGTAATATTGATCAAGAGATGTTGACAACTTTTGTCACAAATATACTACAATTTGCGCTTATTACAGTAGAACTACGAGTATCCACTGCGCATTAACAAGTAAATATGTCCGAAAAAAAGCTTAATAAAAATCGGCAGCATTAGTAATAAAGGTTTTTTTATGTGAAAATTTCTCTTGATTTTAGATTAAAAAAAAAAATCAAAAAATCCGCTTTATTGCTTTATTTTAACAATAAAGTGGAAAAAGTAGTTTTTCTGAAATTTCTTAACAAAATAATGGTGTACAATCGGTTTTTGTGCAATAAAATTATCTCAAAACTGAGTTTCTAAATCAATATCAGTCAACAAATAAAAATGTTATTGCAAAAAAACTTGAAAATTGGGGGTTTTTAGTTATTGTTAAAATTTTTTCAAAAATTCGTTTAAGATGGATCAAATTATCTTACAATTAAATAGAAATTCTAGCTATTTTTTATAAATAAGCGGAATATCTTTTGTTTTTAATGTTAGCTCTTTTTATAAAAAGGTATTTCTGGAATAAATGTCAAGCTTTGGAAGGTTGCAACTACATGCAACATGGAATCACATGGTGAATACAGCAAACTGATTAAATGGCAAAAAATGTTTTAAGAAAACTACAAGTCACAATTCGAAGCCGGCCCTGGGCGGGAATTGGCGACGTCGGACTGTACCTATGAATTGAGATAAGAACTCAGAAGTTACATGATGGAGTAAACGGTGCCGGTTGTCGATACATTCAAATAAACAACAAAACAACAAACATTACGATAAAAATGAAATAATACCAGCATTTGTTCATCGCAAATACTACACAGCATTATTTTAATTACATATCAAACTGTAAACGATCAAAAGAAAGAAAAAAATGTAAGTTACGTACACATTAGTAAGCAAATGAATAATCATTTAGGCAAATTTTCACACTACCATTGAAGTGCTGCGAAGGCGCGTTAATTTTTTTACACCTGTAAATACAGATACGTAGAACGTGATAGAAGACAGGTTTTGTAACATCTACCAAAATTATGTACAAAAAGGAATCTAATTTTGTTGGTTGTTGTATAATAATTTATACATTTTAAGACTATAATTTTGCCAATAAACCAACAATAGTTGTGGAGTGAACTTGTTATTTATTACAGTGCGACGTTTCGACCGTCAATTTCGGACAATAATTATCACATCGTAAGCGTATTTTGTGCACAAGAATATATATAAGATCCTTATAAGAACAGTGTAATATTCGTTAAACCGGATGATGACCGAAATTGGCGGTCGAAACGTCGCACTGTAATAAATAAAAAGTTCACTCCAGAACTATTGTTGGTTTATTGGCAAAATTAGAGTCTTGAAATGTATAAATTATCTACCAAAATTATTTATGAGCCACTCTGGGATATGGATGACTATACAATCACCAAGTTCTGCCGAACTAAATGCCATTGTCATAACTACTGTTTTACACTGACCTATGCTAGTGATGCATTGAACTACTGAAATAACTTCGACTAACTGCATATATGCAAGCCTACAACATTAATAGAACAAAAAACTAATTTATTTATGTTAATATTCATTTACAAAAAAAAGTTATTTAAAATTTTGTATGTTTCTATAACGCACCTATGATTATTTTTTGTATTAAAATGTACATGATACCAACTCAACTTTTAGGTTGGTAATCATGATTCTCATTCTATGTATGTTTACAAATGAGTATGTTATTAATATATGAAAAGAGACACATGTCACTGTCAATCGATGTAATAACCATTTTTGATCTTTTATCATTAGATAACTTTTCAATCCTATAAACCTGTGTTATTATTTGCTCACCAGTTAACAATTTATATAGTTTTTTTCAAGGTGGGGGTCAAATAGTTTTTTTAACGTTTCGGTTTATTCAACCATCATCAGACTTTTGAAGTGTTACTGCTTGTACACAGATAATAACATATTTTTAAACATTCTTTAATGTTGAACTACTGTATACTGGTTCTGAATTCAAGAAAGAATGTTTAAAAATAAGTTAATATCTGTGTACAAGCATTAACACTTAAAAAGTTTGAAGATGGTTGAATAAACTGAAACGTTACAAAACGTAGGTATAGTTGTGTAATTATTTGACCGCCATCCTGGAAACAAAAAACTAATTGTATCGTAAACAACGTCAATCACATTTAATCTAATCTAACTAATTACAAACAATCTATGAGTTAAAATACAAAAGAAATACAACATGAATGCTGCTAATTACCAGCTGATTGAATGCGGCATTTAATAGTAGCATTTCTTTGCGTGATCCTGCCAGTACCGGACTGACTTTCTTCATGCTTGCTACTTATTTCAGAAACACCTCGTGTATGCGCCAGGAGCTACGAATGGCATATAAAACGTCTAGAGCAATAAAGGGAACAAAAAACGGGAGTGTTATTATTCTTTATAGAAATCGCTTGTGAAGCGGGGTCTATCGTTCTATTTAATGATCAATAACATTGCACTTGGTAGAGTTCTTACGCAGTATACATTAAACGGCGGCTGTCAAAGAATACATACACCTACATCTATGTTTGTTCATTTTGTTGATTAATGATAATAGATTTTATTATGGTTTATAAATGCAACTTTGGTTAACGTGTACATTCAATAACGTCAACAGTCACAGGTGAAACTCTAGTCCCTTTTTCATTATATTCTTGATTAATAGTACAATCGATTATAAAATTATCTGTCGATGTCAATTTTGTAATACAAACCTGTAATAATAAAGAGGCTGCTTTCACGTCATCCTTTTTGGCTGCGATATGAAGAGCTGGCAACTTAACCTTACCTCTTGTATCGTTTTCTAACAATACAGCAACAACTTTGTCATGACCCTGCTGCATTGCAACTGCTAAAGGTGTAAATCCGTCCTAAAAATGTAGTATATTAATGTAACAAATCACAAACAATTGATAATAACTCCTATTTTTTGAAATGTTTACCCCCATCCTCCATGAACTTTTAAAAACGGTAAACAAGAGAGGGGGGAGTCGGGCTGACCTTGAACCCCAAAAATGATGAAAGGTGGGGGAGACTTTAAATTTAGTATAAGAATAAATAATGAGAAAGACATATGAACGGTGGGAGGAGTGCCTATTTGATCAAGTATTTCATTATTAGCCTCCACACTTTTTCCCCCTTCAATTTTTTATTAGTAAGGATATTGTCCTTGGCCGTCCCCCTAAACCCCTCCACCGCCACTACCCCCGTCCGAGAGACGGTTTTATCATCTAGACCAGTGATTCCCAACCGGTGGTTCGCGAACCCCTGGAGGTTGGTAGTGTTTACAGAGGGGGTTCGCGAAAATAATATTGTAATGGCGGATGTTTTAAAACGCCATTAAAATCAAAAGCAAAAAAAAAAACAAAACAAAAACACAAAAATTAAAGAACACACCTACTGTAAAACAGATTGTTCGCTGCCTGTTTGTTAAGAAATCTATAACAAATTGCAATATTTTAATTTCTTTTTTCCTTATCTGTTTTTCAAAATTACTTCATCAATATCAAAATATATCAACAATTTTATACATTAAAATTTATTCCTCTTATTCAAGTAATCAAATAGTATTCTCTTTTTATTACAAACATTTATTTATATTTAAAACATTTTATCAATGTGATTAGTATCATGTTCTGCTTTATATTTAAAATCATTGCAGCAGTTTTCCCTTCTATGTAATATTTTTTTTACAATACAATTGGAAATAAATATCAAATTAAGGCAGTTTACTACATTTACATCATTTTAGTCTTATTAATGTTTTATTTAAACGTTTCACGATTAATATAATCAATTATTCTGCAATATGAAAAATATATATTCTATCAAATTTTATTGCTTTTTTTATCTGTCATTAACGACTACATAGGGGGTTTCTCAAAATGTTTCGGACCTTTCTTTTGGTTTGCGAGGAAAAAAAGGTTGAGAAACACTGATCTAGACAATTACCAAAAAGGAGACTCACCCCAATTACCACACAATACTGACAAAGAATGAAAATTTAAGTTAGGTCTTCGCGTTGGTTATGCATTCGTTAGCTTATGATTTATGTATATGTAGGTACTCTATAGACGAGTATAATTTCGTTTTATATTTGTATTTATATTGACAAGGTTTTCTATGAGTTTTCTATACACTAAGTAGTTGTTAGAGTTAGAGGAAAGCGTGTACACATGTTGAAACAAGAAAAATAATTACTCTCGTTTAGTTAATAAAATTATAAGTTCAGTTAATAATTAATCATTAATAATGAACCTGAGGAACCCCTGACAGAACACTTGCTTCGATCACTACTAATGTGGTGTTATCACTCCTGCGTTAATAATATACAAGATGCTCCATTTTCGGCAATTTTGCGGGGTATCTCCTTTATTTTTAAAATAGAGGATTGCGGTATTCCACAGCCGTCTCTACTTACAAGCCATGCTGATGGATTAATTGGCAACACTGTGGGAGTCCCAGGATTTCCCAGTTAATGAGAGTTACAACTAATACATTGGTTGTTGTGTTTTTTTCGTTGTTCTATAATATTTCAATTTTAGCGGAAATATCGTGCAGTAAATGTGCAATAAGGATGATTACAGTGTGTTATAGTGATTAATACCTTTGGACCCAGTTTTTAATTGCAGAACTATTATGTGAAAGATGCGAAAATGTTTTAGGTCAGATTGTGTGTTTTAGTTGTAAATTTTCTTGTTTATTTCTTAACAAATGCCTCTCGTCGTTGTGTTCCCAGTTGCAATTCAAATTATAAATCATCTTTAAAATGTAAGTACAAGTATGTCTATATTTTTATTCCCAAAAAAATGATGAAATGCGAAAAAAATGCATAAGTATTATACCTCGCAAAGTGACATTATAAAAACAATAAAAAAAGTATCCACTGCCGGTAATGTTTTGAGTGAGCTTTTAACATATCCTAAATTACCAGAGAAAAATGAAACAAGAATTTAAATTGTTGAAGAATCTCCCTTAAACATAAGTTAGTTTATTGAAATTTTAAATTCCGATTTTTTAATGAATTGTGATTTAGATGACTCCTCAAAAATTTGCATTTCAGGATATGCAGTTCATTCTGCCTGTAAAAAGGTAACTTGTAACAATTGTGTTTCGCTCATAATAAACAATAAAGGCTCTTGCGTTGGTGATATTTATTTTGATTATTTACAAAGGGGAGGACTTTCTGTTCCTACTGATAATATTAGTATAGTTTTTTTTTTCACATTTATGCCATTCTTGAAGAAATAAGTAATAACGAATATCTGCAGACACAATATTTACGGGCTGAACTCCAAAAATCAATTTTAGGAAAATTAACTATTTTCAAAAATATTTAGTTTTGGAAAACATTATAAAGATATATTCTTCCAAATTTTATCTTCTTTTGCTAATGTTTTGCTTAATGATTACGTTAAAATTATAAATTATAGAAAGCAAGAGTCTTGCCACTCCAATTAAAATTCAGCTAACTGTAAGACAGCAAAAATCCGTAAATTAGAAATTAGAAATTGTAATTAGTTTTTTCTAATGGGATGGGAGGGCTATTGGTGAACCCCAAGAAAAGCTAACGCGTCTTGGCAATACTTCAATTGTGGTGTAGAAATTTGCTTTAATAAAATTACAATTATCGAGATGAAATTCATGTAGGTACCTAACAATGTTTACACTTAATCTTTTGTATTTTCTATTTTGTTCTTAATACCTACATGTTGAAGTGTATTTTAAATAACGTCACATACTATCAGTGATGAACAAATGTTAATTATTTAATAATTTATTTCATTTTTATCGTAATGGGTGTCTAAAAATCATGTGTAACGACGTGTAGTAATAACAAGTAAGACTCGCAAAATAGGACTCTCACATCGAAGCAATGCGCTGTTGCCAAATTTCTCAGCATGGCTTGTATTAGAGACGGCTGTGGGTATTCGCGAAAGAAAGAAGAAGAAAAAATACCTTTTTATGAAATAAAAATGACGTCAGCAGAATTTTCATATTTTTTTTTGTTCTTGAGATACAGGGTGGAGTTGAAAAGTACCACTTTTGAGGTACCCCCTAGTATCTCAGTTATCTTTAAACTTATTCAAAAAATGCACTCTGATGGAAATGTTTTAGTAGAGCTCAGTGACGTGGTCAACATTTTTCTAGCTTCTTCTGTTTTTTAGCTATGACGCAAGCATATGTAATTTTTAATGGAATATTATTTTTTATACTTTTTCCAAAAATGTATAATTATATACAATTATTCTCGAAAACAAGCTCAGAATTTAAGATTTTCTAATTTTTTTGTGTCCAATTAGTAGGTAATAGCCCATAACTAATTTGTTTGAATCAAAAAGTAAAATGTCATCCTCATAAATTTCATTTCGTTCAACATTTACACCCCGGCGTTGATGAGCGTCAAATTTTGACAATGGTATTTATAACAAATCCGTACACTAATGAATCATTTGAAAGACTTGTTATTTGGTCCGATGAATCTTATTTTTCAAGTACGACTATTTTCTTGTTTCGTTTTGGTCTACAGAATTTTTAAGATTTCACAGCACGGCAGTACCGAGAAATCCTTAAGTTATTCCAGAACTGATGAATTCCATTAGCCCTATATAATGCTGCTTATTTTCAACAAGACGGTGCCCTAAGACACAACTCTGCCCTCTTAAGGGTGTTTTTGGATTAACTTTCCTCAAAGATGGATTCGTATAATAGCTGCAGATTTGTAAAACATTTAGATTTTTCAATTTTGAATTTTCTCCTATGCAGTTTCACGCAAAATAAAATCTACAAAACGTGATAACAGTCTACAGCGGAACTTCGTGCTTAACATTCCAAAATTTGAAATGATCTATTATGCCTTTGGGCATTATTAGAAGAATAACAAAAATGCGCCAATTTTAAATATGGCAAAATGGCCATCATGTAAAAAAAAATGTTTTCATCTTTCTTTTGTTTTGTGTAAAACTCACTAGATTTATTAGTTAAAATGCTGTAATAAAAGATTAAATTAAGAATTAATAAAGATGTTTTGAATTAAGCTTAAAAGTATTATAACTCTACTATAATAATAACTTACATGGATTTTGTTTTCATAAATTTTAGCCATAACTAATCTACTAATTGGGCACAAAAGAAAATTTAAGAAAATCTTAAAATTCTGAGCTTGTTTTTGAAAATAATTGATTGTGTGTAATTGTACGATGTATTTTTAGAAAGCCCATATCATATGTTTGCATTGTATTATAACTAAGAAATGGAAGACACTAGAAAAAAGCTGATTACACCACTGGATTCTACGGAAAAAATTCTATAGCAATTACTTTCCTCTTCGATAAATTTAAAGATTAATAAATGATCGATAACTGACAGCGAGATACAAGGGGGTGCCTCAAAGGTGATATATTTCAATTCCACCCTGCATCTCAAACACCAAAATAGATATGAAAATTCTTCTGATATCCCATCCCAAGTCTTGAAAATGGAATACCCTGTACACATAAGCGCGAAACAAACAAGTTTGTTTTGAAAAATTGGGATGAGTCTCTTTTTTCTTTAAAAACTTTATTTTTATATAAATACTTTCAATACTTAAATTTGTCTTACCTCGGTAGCCAGAGCTTGGTTTGCACCTTTCGAAAGTAAATATTTGACAACGTTTTCGTGATTTTCCTGAGCTGCCATATACAATGGGGTGAAGCCATTTTGTGATTGAACGTTAATTGAAGCACCATGCTGGATTAATAATCGGACAACTTCCTCCTGGCCAGCTATAGAAACAGAAAGAAACTGCATCTAATGTAAAATATATACAAGACAACCTCTGAGGTACCTACTAAAAATTTCTGGATTCACAGGAAGTCACTGACCTGAAACTATATTGTTTTTTCCAGGGTGGCGGTCAAATAATTAAACAACTTTATGTTTTTTGTTACATTTCGGTTTATTCAACCACCTTCAGACTTTTAAAGTGTTACTGCTTGTACACAGATTTTAAATTAATTTTAAACATTTTTTCATGTTGAACTACTGTATACGAGAAACTTCTTTTCAACGATGCATCATGTATTTTTGACAAGCGAATTTTATATAGAGCGCGTGATAGAAGCATTTCTTATATATTATCAAGTATAACTTGGTACCCTTTAATTTAANTATATGTGAATGTATCGTTTTTTGATTATCCTTCTCGGACACGGTGCATATAATGTTGTTGGGATCTATACCGAGTCATTTAAGATTTATTTATTTAGTAAAACAGTTGGAGGTTTATTTATCTGCATTTTGTTAATATGTCATTTACAATAAAACTTTACTACAGAAATATCTTGCAAATCTGTTCTTACAAATTACCTACTTAATAAATTTTCGATTATTTAATAACGGTTACAGAGTAATTCAACGTATTAACGTTTTAACGTATTATGATCAAGATGGATAGCTCTATTAACTTTTCCAGATTTTATAAATCTATTGCTCACTGATATAAAAAAGAAATATTACTGTCGCGTAATAAACCATCTGTCGCACTCTAATTTATTTTTCTAATTAATCTTTCATTAATACCACTATTATCAATTAATTGTTTGCTCGCTACTATATCGCTCACTGAACCGTTTTTTCGCTCTATAGAACCTAACTTTTTGGATCTCACGGCAGCTGTTCCAGAATGTACTCTCTAAACAAATCTGGCTTTCTTAGCAACTTGGCGCTTCCTTACATATGGTGGGTTACTTTCATAAGGTATTATTCTACTTGTATCTACACAAGGTTCTCTATTTTCATGTTACTTTTCTAAAAACTATAACATTCGAAGGTCCTTAGAGTACGAAATAAAACAGAAATTTAGTAAAAAGTAAAATAAACAGAAAGAAAAAAATATTGCATAGTTAGAGAAAAGAAACCAGTGTGATAGAAGAGCATCCATACAATTGACAATGAGCCATCCATGCTTCGTGCAAATTATTGGAAAAATTATGGTTCCATTAGTGACAGAATATTCGTTTTTATTGAAAGGCTATTTGTGGCAGACTAGAAACTTCTCATTTATTCTCATATTAGTAAGTTCGATAATGTACCGTTATATGGGTAGTTCTACGAACGAAGGAATTTTAGACGGCACAGTGTATTTCGTATATTAATATTTAAAAAATTAGTTTTTTCCAAATGAACATTATAAACCATAACAGTGGCTGGTAACCTCAAAATAACCCTATTTCAACTCATATTTATTGCCAAAAATTACATTCAAAATGTAAAATTCACAGTCTCCTGGCCTGTCACTTCGGGAAAGTGAAAGCTACTAAACTGAATAAGTATTGTTTCCGAGTATGTAAAAACAATTTTACACTGCAGTAGTGATTTTCGTATTAGTATTATTTCACTGTGTAAGTAATTATTATTTTTTGTATATTTTATTCAAAATATATTCTATTAAATTTTGTCCTTCAAATTTTCTACCGTTTTACTATCAGATCAAAACACTTTAAAATTCGAGAAATATATATTTCGATCAAGTTATTGTTCTTCACAATAATTAATTGAAATACAATAAATATAATAATATGCAAGTTTTATTAAATTAGAGATTTTATCAGTTATCTCAGTTAACATTGCGAATGAGATTCTGTTTTGTTCAGTCAATGTATCAGTATCCTGGTAGGTAGTTTCGTAAAAAATTATCGTAAATATAAATAATTTTATAGTTATATAAGTTGTGCATGTGTTGCCTAGTGATAACGGACTTTTTTTATTTTTAAAAAGCATTATTTTGCCATTTTTCTACTAAATATTGAGAATATTATCAGTCAACTTTAAAAACGGGATGAGACTCAAATCATCGCTGAAGATTATTGGATTCATTGTATTAAGTGCTATGAATGGGCCCAAATCCAATGTATTAAAACCGATCCTCAATTTTTTACATGCCCAGATTGTTTATTTCATTCATATTAATAAGTAATAGATAATTTACAAATAATTATATTTCAGTTAATTCTATTTGTTTAAGGTTTAAAATTTAATGAATTGTTAACCTAGATTGGGTAATAAAAATTGATTAGAGAAATTCTTCTATGTTAATGTTAGTTTTAAATTCATTTTTTTAGTTTCCTGGATATAACTCTTTTTAATGACCATAAAATTTATAATTCTTAATTTTTTGACTGGTCACTTTAAACTTGAAAAAAAACTACTTGCCAATACTTAGATATAAAAAAAATGTGATTCCGTTATTCACCTTATTTTCTTCCTTCATGAGTAGAATTACCCATATTGTAGATTACAAGAAAGGAATTTATTTTAGTACGTGAAAGTGCCGGCTAAAAATCAAAGTAAAAAAAGTAGTTACCATAACAATATGTATAATAAAACAGCAATAAATCTACTTGAAATCGATGTTTAAGTTTTAATGAAATGAGAAACACCAAACTTGACATAGCAGGATAGCGAAAATCTGGCACACATTAAAATCACTGTAAAAAAACAAATTTTCAATGAAATGAATGTAAAAACAATTAACTAATGCATAACATACATGAAAGTTCATTAACTGTCTGTAAATATAGAGGTAAGGCAAATTACCGAACATACAAATTACACATTTCTTTGTCGACATTATTTCCTATTTTCATATACCACGTCGTATTTTTCCAAAGATGATACCGCTCTTTGATGATTGCATTTAATAGAATATCGATCACTCGCCACTGTTTTTAAATTTTAAAATACAAGTGTGATCTCCGGCAGAAATAATGCTGGGCATCCGATTATCACGACATCTTTGGAATAGGTATACGCATTTAAGAAACCTATCGGAAAGATAATTAATACAATTAACCAGAAGTTTAAAAGAAAGGTAAGTACTTTTTAAGGACCTCACGAAGATTCTTGACAAACTGAATCACTACGCTGCTTATATATACATACACACGAGTATATTACGTGATAACTGGTCAAATTAATAAAGAAAACCGCTTAATATTCTTTATCTAAATTAAGTAATTATTGCATTTGAAAATACACCGCCTATACGATGTTGTCTCTATATCATATCACGTAGATAGTGTTTGCATATTCGATGATTAAAGCACAAAACCCGAATTAAATTTTATTTTTAATGCAGTTGTTCACGATAAAATTTTTAAACAATAAGTGAGAAAAAAAGAAAATAAAAGAGTCAAGCAAAATAAATGAGTGGAATTTCATCATTACAAAAAGCGTATGAATAGCAAATTTTCATGCTTCGTTGAATAAAAGAACTAGTAGGTAGAAGAATTAGTTTTTTCTTTAGATTCAAAAGACTTTCTCCGAGAAGCTCTTTAAATATCTCTCTTCCTTAGTTGAAACAAGTTCTGGAAAAAGCAACTACAGCTCATTTTTATTTAAAAACCACTTACCAAGAGAAGCTATGTGTAAAGCTGTGTTTCCTTTTTTCGTTGCAGCGTCGATAATAGCATCTCGTTTTAGAAGCTCTCGTACAACTTCAATGTGACCATCCTTAGCTGCCAGGTGAAGTGCGTTAAGGCCATTCTGAAATTTTTTTTTCTTAAAATATTTTATATTAAGCAATCGTTATAGTATAGTGGTTTTCTCATTTCATACTTATAATTCTCTCCATTTAGTACTCAATTTCAGTACAAAAGTTTAACTTTTGATTGGTCAAATCTAAAGATTTCAGATAAATAGAAATAATCCTTTAAGTTTCTAATAATATTAATACGCCGAAGGAACCCTGAAAATGTCTGAGGCCGTTGCTATATACCGTCTTGACAAGAAAATCGAAATTTATCAAAACGTTTTATATGGATTGGTTACTCCAAATTTAGCTGAGGAGCTACTACTATATTAAAAAGTGGTTGCTATTACTAACGAGATTTCTAAGTGATGATTACACGATATAAAATCGAGTGCCAATGTTGTCTCATTACGAATAAAAATACACTTAAACTAAACCGCAATACTTCCTTCAATTTCGCTATTCACAAAACGTTTACATGAGATCAATCAAAATATGGGTGACTTTTCACTCTCTTCGAGTGCTATAGTTACCGTTTACAGCATACTTAATAAATAATGAACATGTATGAAAATGACATAACTAGTAAACGCTGTCGTTATCATCATCATCATAAGGATGTCAGTCCTAAGACTGGTTGGACACGCACCTCCACTCTTTCCTATCCTGCGTTAATCTTCTCATTTCCCTAAAGCTGGAACAACCCATATCTTTAACTATTTGTGAACAGTAATTTAATCTAGGTTCTATTAAAAAACAAGTAGGTATATTGTCTACTAATACAGGAGACGTCCACATGTTTGAGTTTTTACTTTCGTTTTTATGCATTTTAATTAAATGGAGTGGTTACTGTAAATGTGAGGCTTTATACACGGTGTAACAGAAATAAGTGCCGAGCTTACAGAATGTGATAAAGCACTATTGGGATCCGTCAAATGGGCATACACCATTTGGTGGCAAAATTTATAACTCGAATGAGGGAAAAATTTACATAGGCACTGTGCACGCAAATTGTAAAATTGTTTATTAAAATAATAAAACACGTTAAAAAAGTAAAAATTTTTTTGATGATGGAGCTGTAATAGCACTTCAGACATAGATCTACTTTCCAATAAAAACTAACCGTTTTATATATGTAAAAAATATATCTATTCGGAAAATTAGAGAAAAAAGTAAAGTAATAGAAGCTTGGATGAAAGTAGTGGGTATCAAAGAAGTGAATTCCGGAATAAAAATTTGTTCACGTCATTTTAATGCACATGATTATATTTCAGCAAGTATTTACCATCAGCCATAACCTTAATATTTAAAATTAGAATCATACAAAAATTATAAAGTGAGAAATTGTGTAACTGATTTAACACAATTCTAATGATACGATATAAGTATTTTGAGGTTAAGAACCTACCTGCTGCAATACAACAAAGTTGCAATAATGTGTTTGCTACGTTCTCTTAAATCGGCTTTGCACGTGCAAGTCATTGATATGATATTGCTTAAATCACCCAGAATCACCTCACCAATTATATAACGTGAATCACTTTTTAAATATGAAGTTTGTAAAAAGTAGGCAGTAAACTTGACGGAATTTGAAGGCTAGCTTCCGGATTTGTTATTTCCGAATTTTATAATGTGATTGGCATTAAAAACACGCTCACCTTCAACGAAATTTCCTTTCCGAGGCTTTGTGTCAGCCCATTCACATATTGTGTCAATATTTATCATTTTATCGTAATTTAAAAACTTGGAAATTGCACGGTACACTATAGGAACTACGATAAATTTTCCCTAATCGACGCCATGTTTTTAGGCTCCTCCCATTTGACGGATCACAATAAAACATAAATAATATTCGAGAAAAACGTAGTTGATTGTAGAGGTAAATTCAATTCCGGCCCTACTAGAGAAATATGGCCCGCAACGTGCCCTTAATCAGTTGGTGGTTACCAGCATAAATGTAATATTTGTCTTGTGTCTTTTTGCTCATGCATTGTTTATTTGGTAAATTAAATTGTGATTCAGGGTGTTTACGGTAATAGCCAAACTCTAATAGCCATTTACGCCTTGTATAATACAATCGATGTGCAGTTCAATAAACTAATTGACAATACTACATCAATCAATAGTGCAGGTCAGTCACTGTGGAACAGTTATTGTTATGGCTTTAAACCATATGGCCCCTGTAGGACCGCAATCCTTGATTTAAAAGAAGACAATCCCTAAAGTAGTACACACGAAATAGTAGAGAACATTGACTCCTCTCATGTCACAGTATAGCAAATTTTAAAGGAACAATTACTGCATCCTCATCATCTGCAATCTTTGCTAAAATTTATGAGGTATCGAAGATATATTTTTCTTAGAGTTTAGAACTGTCTGTATTGTCAAACTATGTATAATGTAAAAATAAAGAGCTCTTAAAATATTGCTTTCCCTTTATTTCAAAAGTCTTTGGAAAACAATTAAGAAAAAACATAACTCATTTACATGCCTGTAATGTACTTCGTGTAGTACTCAGTGGCGGATTATCCGTAAGGCAAACTAGGCACGTGCCTAGAGCACGAGGTTACAAGGGGGATGCGCACGCGAAATTTTTGAAAAATTACAAAAACAATAATTGTGTCAGTAAGTACCTATGCACCTTTTTACACGATATAAAGATTCTTTATTCGTAGAGCTTTGGAAACGTGCTCTGCCTTCTTGATTATTCCTACAACGCCTGATCTAGAAACGTATGTATCCATACCATAGTATAAAACAAAGTCGTTTTCCGCTTTTCCTTTTCCTATGTACGGTTAGATCTTCTAAACTAAGTACGCAACGGATTTTGATGCTGTTTTCACTATTATTCAGGGTGATTTATAGGTACAGGGTGTCTCACGGCAGAGTTAGGATTTTCAAATTAAATCTAAAAAAGTTACTCTTTTAGGAAAAATATTTTTATTAAAAGGTAGTTAGCAATAATGCAGATTTCATTATTTGAAAATTATATCTTCTAAATGTCCTCCATTTCGTTGCATGCACTCTTGGAATCTGTCCATAGTATTTTGTATAACACGCCGAGGCATAGCAATTTCGCTTACATTACGGCTAATGTTTTCTTTTAACCCGGCGATATTCCTCGGAGTATTGATGTAAACCTTGCTATTAAGATACCCTCACAGGAAAAACCTCATGGGCGTTAAATTGGGTGATCGCGGAGATCACCAAAGACGGCATCAACTAGAGGAAACAGCTCACGAAGTTGGTCCACAGCTCTTGCAGTGTGAGAAGTGGCTTCGTCCTGCTGAAACCACGTCCATAATCCTGTAACAGCATGTTCTTGAAGCCGGGGTATAATCGTGCGACTATTTATTTCATCTGGTTTACACCTTCTAAAGCTCAGAACTTATTTCTGTTACACCTTGTATATACCTAGGGGTACCATAACTTCCAGGGAACAATAAGAGACACGTTGTCAATTGCGACTCCCAAATGCACTGGTTCAGAGATTCTCATACTTACAGTCGTATTTCTATAACTTTCGCAATTTGTGAACCCTTTTAATCGGTATAAGGAGTCAGAAATGAGGAAACAACCTTACAAGACGAATATCTTTTTTTTTTCAAATGAAGTGACCCATATTAAAAGAGACCGTTCGATTCGAAATTAAACGCTCTTTCTACTGATACACATATAAGATTTTGCATATTTCTTTCTGAGAATTTTACAGAAAAAATCTATTATTTTATATTTAACACAGACACATAAAGGAATATCGTTTGGATAGGTACCCTACCTAAGTGTAATTTTATAAAGACAAATTTTGACGTCCATCCTTGAGGTATTACCGAGGTGCATTACCTTTCTTACATAGTATACACACATACAAACACACACACATCCGTACATTACAAAATTGATCGAATTATGACTTCCATTCCAGAAGACAGGCTTAGAGACGTCTAACAAAATAATTTCTGAAACGAGCAAAAAAGTTTTTAGTTACACCAAGGTTGCTATGTAAAGCTAATAGAAGGAAATAGCTGTAAAGCTATCGGTATCTATACATAACTGATGGATAGGATGATAAAATAATTAAATTCAGGTAAAAAGGGAATTTAATCTCTATTATTTTGAGAAATCTTATTCAATACATTTCTAATCATAAAAATAATATTAAACAGAAGTAGGAAATAACAGCCCTTCGGAACAGTTTGAACGTAGGTAAGTTAAATTTAAACAAAGTAGCTTTGACCTCAGCTGAAAGCCGCTCATTATTATTTCCATGATTCCGTACAATCACACCTACAAATTCAGGAGCGGAATTCGAAGGGGTAAACACCGAGCTGCTGCGTTAAAAAAAATGTGAATATCGGCATATAAGACAACTACGTGCGAGTAGACATTGTGAACTAAATAAATTGTATTTTCTAACATCTTGTGTTAAAATAGAATTCTCTAAAAGTGAGTCCCAATGTTGAAGCCCTGAACCTCCACCAATACCGTCAGAACGAATTCAGAACATGACCCAAGGATTGAAAATACTAAGGCGTGCTGTAAGTGCAACCTCTATAATTATTACAGAAACCTCAAACAGTTTAGTAGCAATTGAGCTTTGTTTAGAAATAATAATAAATTAAAAACAGATATAAACAACGTTAACATCTAAATAAATAGATTAGCTAATATTCAGTATGTTTCGCTTGTGGAGAAGTCAGCCATAAACGTGCGGACTGCCTAGCCAAAAACACACAAGGCAACCGTCAATTAAGATGTAATTATTGTCATAAAATCGAACATAAAGAGGAAGTAGGTCAGAAAAAGAATCACAGTTTTAACAACAAAAGTAAAAGGGTAAATTTAATTACGGAAACAAAAACCAGCGAGTCTACGCTGATCAGGAAATTTCAAGCTCCAGAAAACATTACTAATAATGATGTAACAATACAATACATTCTTATTTATGTAGTCGATGATGTCAAAATCACACTTGACTTAATAGTAGGTCATACATTTACTGAAGACCCATCACTACCATCATTAAGACGAAAAAAGATTTACATATCTCAAAATTACCATCAACTAAATGCAGGAAATTTAATAATCAATTTATTATTAATTATATCGACATGTTTGATAAACCAGAGGGCGAAGTTGATAGAATATCAAATGTGGACCAATAACAGGAAGAGAACCAACGAATTTGGAGACCATTTTAGTTTCATTCCAAGTGAAATAGAAAAAAAAACCCTACCTCATACTACTACTAAAATGAACATTGCACAATTGGGCGATAAACCTATTGTTTATGTATCAGTATAATACAGCTTTTATTACGCCGGAGAGGCATTTTAAATTTCTCCAAATGCAATTCGGGTTGTCTAATCTTTAATGCACCTGCAGAGTTCCAAAAATTAATGAAGTTTTGTACATTTTTTCGATGAAAATGTTTACGTTTATCTGCATGCTATAATTATCCCGTATAAATCCATGATGGACGGAATATAAAAATTGCACTTTGAAAGTACAATTTCTTCCAAACATCTGCTGAATACTTATGTGGGGAAATATCCCACAACCGTATGAGACATACCAGTATCTGCGAACAATAATCAGATCAGACAGTTTTTAGGCATAGGATATTTTCGATGATTTGTGCAGGATTTTGCAACCTTAACGTATCCTCTTACAAAGTCCCTCTGCCATTTTACAGTTTATGTGGTCGGTATCAAATTCAAAGTAAGCACACATTGCAGTACCATACGTGCTACGTCTGTAAGAAAAGGACATAGTACCCAGGAAAGACCTCTGGTGATGGAGCTACAGGAGTACAATTTTGAACGGTATGAATATATTACATGTGGATTGTCCATCATAATAATCCCTCCAGTGATCGAGACTCATTTTATGAATGTAATCAATATTACCGAAGGCGAGTTGTTGGAAGCCTTTCAATTGCAAGACGAAGAATTATGTAAAATTTAAAGAAATTTAATGTCAGATGATACAACTCCGAATACAAAGATTTACTTTGAAAATTAAGTCAGTAAATGGGGAAAAATCTACAGAAAACTAGAAGACAGGATTAAAGTGGGATGTTGCAAGGATCAATAGCTGGCAAATATGTAAACTATGCAATGACGACCTTGACAATTTCGGATTCGAAAAAACATTAAATAAAATCAAGAAAGTTATTAGTTTGCAGGCATGCCTCGTTTCGTAAGCACAATGCCTGTTTAATTAGTACTTATTATAAAGCACCATTAGACAGAGACCGGGGTATTTAGATACGATAGAAAAAATAATGGTACCTTTTCATTCCATTCATGTGGACCATATGGGACCTTTCGTTAAGTCTGACTAGAAGAAAATAAGTTATGTGATACGAGCAATTAATGATGTTATTAATATTTTTGAGATTCCGGTTAACTGATAGGGGAAGTGCTTTCACGTTGCATACCTTTAGAAATTTTGTGCAGAATACGACAAACGAGATGTGTTAAACGCAGTCTTCACCCTTCGAGTGGACGGGGCGAGTACGAGAGGCATAATCGTACTATTTTAAATTCCTTGGTAGTCTTGAATAGAGGTTTTGAAAACTCGCTCATGTCTGTATCTATGTACCTACAATAATGAGTGCTTGTGTCGGTAAGATAGAAACAAAATTTAACAATCAGATGTGCTGTGTTTAGTTGTCATTTTCATATTCAATTCAAGGGAGTTAAAAAGGATCTATATGTTCTTTAGCTTTTCGAGTAATAAAGTAGTGACATCTTTGGAAAAATTTGTGTCATAAATCGGATAACTTTAACGTGAAAACTTCTAGAATTTGTTCCGAACATTTGGACCGTCTGACTATAATTTCAAGCATCAGTTTTAATTATTTAATGGTAAATCTAAAAAATGTAGATTAAGACCTGACAGCAATAATATTATATCATCATTCAAACAAAACGTGTTTTGTATTCTGTTAACCACCTCTGCCTACAAAGCTCAAAGTTGTAGAAAAATTCTTAAATATTGTAAATTACAATGGTTACATATATAACCTGATGATTGTTGAATTTTAGCTGCAAAGATAGACTGAGTAAGGATTACTTTTTATATTTTAACGTTGTTACTAAACAACTTTTTGACTGTCGCGATATAATATATTTACTGTGCACGTTTAAACCAGCAAAACTATTCCTTCAACAAAAGATTATAAAATAATGAAGTCACGAAAGTGCTCCAGTCAAAATACAAATAATCGATTAAACATCATCATCATAAGGTCGTAAGTTCTAAGACTATTTTGACATCAACCTCTACTCTTTCCTTTCCTGAACTAATCTTCGGATTTCCATAAAACTAAAACATCCCACATCCTTAACTATTTGCGAATAGTAATCTAATCTAGGCATACATCTACTCCTCTTAACTCCTGTTTCTGCTTCTAATATATCTCTGACTAGTCCTTTATGCCTGAGAAGATGGTGTCCTACCAACCTATCTTCTTCTTCCATTGACTTCCATAGAGTCCTCTGTTCTCCTATTCCTTCTAATACCCCTTTATTTATAATCTTCTCTATACACGGTATCCCCATCATTCGCCTGTAACACCACATTTCGAACGCCTCCAACTTTTTCTTTTCTGCCATACCCACCGTATCCGCACAGTGTCGCGCTCCAATCTTTTTCGAATTGCTAAATTGATCGTTCACGAGCATACAAATGACTTTCTTTTGTTGAAGGCCACTCAATCCTGCGCTATCCACTGCTTTATATCCCTACTAGTCCTTCCGTTCTGACTTATCTCCAGCTCTAGAACTGCCTGTTGCTCTTTATACAAACTAAGTATCACTCTTCTATCTCTGCAACTCATCCCTATATTTTTAAGTATATTTAACATCTTGTACCATTTAACATTGTCAAAATCTTTTTCTAAATCTACGAATCCTATGTATGCATATATTTATTTTTTATATATAGTTTTTTTTCTATTGTTGCCCGTAAAGCTAGAATGGCTAGAAAGCATTGTATGTGTATTCGAAATTGACGACGTCATGCGCGAGAAAGGTGATTTTCAGTTCGCTTGCAATTTTAACTTGCTAGCTTTATTGTATCATGGATCTTACTCGACCGTACAAAACGAAACTTTTTGTTTGTGTTGATTGCTGGACAGTAGAGCTCGCTGCTGTGTATGGTGACCAACGTAGTCGTGATGATGACTGACCGATGGCAAGTGTTTTATGGAAGACACAACAGAGTGAACAGCAGTTCATTTTTAGAAGATTTTCGTAATCGGGGTCACCACTGTGGCGTATTGATCAGCGTTGTCAGGTTCAGTAGATAGAATTATCACACCCTTTAGAAAAAATTATCGTACTGACATCAAAAATATCGTACGTTATTGCGCATCCGCAATGAATTTGTAAAGAGAGTCTGTGTACACCAGTGATTTTCTCAGTTCTACTATACCATCAACGAACTATGACACTATAAAATAGGCTAATAACTTGGTAGAAACTTCAAATAAAACAATGAATTTCGGACTGGATTTTAAACATTTTGGAAGTAAAATTATCTACGTCCCCATAATTATCGTATAGGTTGGCAACGCTGGTACTGATGTACGTAGATTGTGGTTCTGATAAGAACCGATTAAGTGCAGAGCTGGAGCAAATTTTCGGTGGGTGATATTGTTGCAAAATTCGTGCAGGTAGCTGCGGTTATACTATTGCAGTATCTAATGAAGAGTGAACCTTGTGTTAGACAAATTTATTGAGTATTTTTACGGCTATTTACAGTACAATTATTTACACTGGTCTTATGACATAATGTCGGCTCAGCATATTACACTTGTGTATGTAAATGTCTTTGACCTAGTTGTCGCTCTATATCGCGATTTTAATGATGAAAACCTTACCTAACCTAACCTAATTACGTAGGTGATATAATCGTCGAATCAATGTATAATCATTATTAATAATGAGATATTTAGAAGAAAGTTTATAAGGTTCGTTTTAATACACGAATGTGAATTAACATTTTGAACTACATTTTTTACCACTACAGATAACCTCAAATTAATTAGGAATAATTGTTGCTGCTGTTATGTTCTTGCCGGGAATAGAACCCGAATCCCTGGTTTCATGCACTGATACTCTCACTAAGCTACGAGAAGTTAAGTAATGTGTAGTGGTAAAAAAATTGATTTACTTTTATGTGTTAAAGGAAGACTATGACATTCAGTAACTACTCGTTTGTGGAGGCAGTTGTATTTCTAAAATTGAACATAAATTATTTTCTGTTGCGTATAGACTGTATTTGATTACCACGCCTACAAAAAAATATAAGATAAAGAGAGAAAAGTTTGAAGGAATTAGTATTCATACTAAAAACAATCTGCATTCATGAATTTTTAATATAGTTAACTATCTGATAATAAGAAATAATAATTGTTTTGTCTCTTTACATCTGTGTGATGACACTTACAGGTAGCAATTCCTTTCATGTTTATTTGATTTATAATATTATTTATTAGTATATTGATTAAATTTACTTACCGCATTTGAAGTATTTATATCTCTAATTGTTCCTGAGTCAAGGTATTCTTGAATTTTGTCAAGCTGACCAGCTCTTGCAGCTCTTAAAAAAGCAGTGTTAGGGTCCGTCTGAAAAAAAGTTTTATTTAAGTAATTTATTATAACGGGAAAGGTATTTTAACTTAAATATGCAACTCTGCTGAAGAATGTGCTAAATCAGAAATTGTAGCCAGAATCCACAGACGGTAAATATACATATTCAATTCGCTTCATTAAGAGATACGTGATAATATGGATAACACCTATAATAAAATACATAGAACTGTTCGTCACAAAGTTGAATTTAAATTTATTATTAGTGTATTTACGCCAAGCTGGTTAAGTTAAAGCAGGCACGAACTCGAAAAAACAAAAGCTATGTAAGATGTAAAATAGTAAAGACATAGAATAATTTTAGTTAATCAATGGCTTTTTAAATCCCATATACAATGTTTTTACTTAAGTTGGCAGCATACGGGAAACTTTTTTATTATTAATAAAATACTTGAGGATGTACCGCTGCAAGTGTGTGGATTTAGGTTTTTAATCATGATGGTGCACCCGCTCACGTTGCAAGATTAGTACGTGAGTTTCTATAGATTAAGGTTTCTAGACGTTGGATTGTAACGTATCGGCCCTTTAGCTTAGCCGGCGCGTAGTCCGGATCTCTCTGAATTTCTTTGTTTGGGGTTGTATGAAATTCAAGTTTAGAACGGTGATGGTTTCCAAAGCTTACCGCTTATTTCAGAAACTCCCTGAATACATATACATATATCTATTAAAAGTGATATAACAAATTAAGAGTTATATACACTATGTCTGTCTCAATACTCTGGAAAAATTAAGGTAGAAGGGCCAGGAAAAAGAAAATCAGACATCTCACACCTCCCAGTAATATACATAAACACGAGGTTAATGACCTTATCGAAAACACCAACCGGCAATGATGACCAAATCATACAAATCAAGTGCAACTGTTCTGTCTGCATACCAACTGCTACGAAGGTCACAAATAAGTACGTGTGCTTCATTACTTGATATTTGTGATAACGAAAGACGATAAGATAACGCGGCCGCCAACCTGACTAGTGTTCTCAATCATTGACGGCTCATTAATTGGGGTAGTTCTTGTGCATAGTTTGTACACCTCCTACTACGTTGCACCGCTATTACGATAAGCATTAAAGTTCATGGTTTACATGGATTAGACTTTTCTATTATATCGGAGATATAAAAGCAGAAGATATATAAGATTGTAAGAAAGAATTTAAGAGAGAAATAAATACAGAGGAGGTTAAATTAGAAGAAACTGACACAGAATTGAAGAAGAATATGAAGCAGTTAGAAGCTACATATGAGATCATGATGAACATTGATTTAACATCGGATAAGCTATAAACCATGTAGATTGTCTTATGACAGGAAGTTAGGAAGACAGTTGAAGATTTAGAGTAAGCTGACATCATCGAAGATTCCGTATTGCAATGTGTCAATCTGTGCTTCATCATCATAAAGTCGTCAGTCCTAAGACTGGTTGGGTACCCACCTTCACTCTTTCCAATCCTGAGCTCATCTTCGCATTTCCCTTAAACTGGAGCATCCTTAACTATTTGCGAACAGTTATCTAATCTGGCCTACTTCTACTCCTCTTAATTACTGTTCCGAATTCTAACATGTCTCTGACCAGCCCTTCATGCCTGAGGTGTGCAACATATCTTGCCTATTTCTTATTGACTTCCATAGAGTCCTCTGTTCTCCTATTTTTTCTAATACCTCTTTATTTCTAACCTCCTGTATTCCACGGTATCCTCATTATTCGTCAGTAACACACTCCACATTTCGAACGCTTCTAACCTTTTCTTTTCCGCCGCGTCCACCGTCCATGTTTCGTTCCCGTACAGCGTCGCGCTCCAAACATATACCTTTAACAATCTTTTTCGAATTTCTAAATATACCGTTTGCAAGCATAGAAGTGACTTCTTTTTATTGAAGGCAATTCGATCCTGCGCTATTCTCTGCTTTATATCTTTAATACTTCCGTCCCGATTATCTGGCTTCCTTGATACCGAAAAACAGCCACATCTTTTAATCTTTCGTCTCCTATTTTTATATTCGCTCTTTCCCTACTTGGAGATGTTCGTCTTTGTATTGATTACCTAAGACTAAATAAACAAACTATTAAGGGCCACTACCCACCTGCTATGATTGACAATCAAGTAGATCTATTATACGTTGCAGAAATATTAGAATAGAGGAAAACAAGCAGAATAAAAATTATAGGATAGGTGAATAAAAAGTAGGGAAAGAGCGAATATAAAGATAGGAGACGAAAAATTAGAAGAAGTGGTTGATTTTAGATATCTAAAAAGTCAGATAAGTCAGGATGGAAGGAGTAGTAGGGATAATAAAAAGAAGTCACTTCTATGCTCGCGAACGGTTAATTTAGAAATTCGAAAAAGGTTGTTAAAGGTGTATGTTTGCAGCGCGGCGTTGTACGGGTGCGACACATGGGCTTTGGGCGCGACGGAAAAGAAAAAGTTACAAGCCTTCGAAATGTGGTGTTATAGGCGAATGATGAGGATAACGTGGCTAGAAAAGGTTATAAATGAAGAGGTATTAGAAAGAATAGGAAAACAGAAGACTCTACGGAATAAAAAATAGGCGATAGGTTGGTAGGACACCTTCTCAGGCATGAAGGTCTAGTCAGAGACAAATTAGAGACAGAAACAGAAGTTAGGAGGGGTAGAGGTAGATCTAGGTTAGATTAATGTTCACAAACAGTTAAGGATGTGGGTTGTTCTAGTTTTAGGGAAATGCGAAGTTTAGCTTAGGATAGGAAAGAGTGGAGGTACGTGTCCAACCAGTCTTAGGACTGACGACCCTATGATGGATAATGATGAGGTGAATAAGTTATGGTTATAGATGATATAGCATCAACAGGAGACAGTAGAAAATTAAGGTCAAGATACAGAGGACTATTTCAGATATCTGAGGTATTAGAAAGGGATAGGTATTTAGTGGATGATATTAAATCACCTTAAATTAGCATCTACTAAAATCAGATTAGTTGGTTAATAAGACAGTGAATTTTTAAGTTTTGTTTTAAACTGTTGTTGTAGAAAGGATTGTCGTTTACTTCATTTATTTTAAATTTGTTTATAAGATTGGTGTTTGTCAGTATTCATCGACGTGGACATCTTCCCTTCAGGAAGGCCGCACTGAGACAACTTTTATGGTCTGCGTGTAAAGGGGTGGTTTATCTTGTCGCGTGCCTTATACTCAATGATATATAGTGGTAGCGTAGTAGTAGTAGTAGGAATTGGAGGTTAGAACATCAATGGTATATTTTGTGTTTAATAAACGATGAAAAGTATTTAAACTGTCTTATTCGAGGCCTGCCACATACAACATTGACAAAAAAGCAGTCTTGCACTGACATTTTATAGAAGAACTTTTTAGATGGGATTGTGTTGTGTCTTTGAAAATGCTAATTTATATTTATTGATAATTATGCAACTCAGTAAACATAATTAATGAGAGCAACTGTTTTCTTCATTGATTTCAGTTTGCTGGAATTTAATAAGATAATTTAATAATTTTCACTGCATCAAGTTGAATGCGAATATTTCGATTTAAATATTGCTCTGATGGGAACATTCCTGCGTATTCGTTCGCCAATCATCGTTGCTGATCTTTTTTTAGTGTTTGGACGCTCCTTTCCGTTAATCCGTTTGTAGTTGCGTGATGAACTTGTAAAAATGCTTGCTCCTTAGCAAAAATCCTTGCTAATGAAGATTGTGGTATTGTCTGAGATTATGATTTGTGGGTAAAGGTGCATTGAAATAATTCGATGGTTGATGCTGAAGATGGTACTAATGAGTATGGTTTAATTTCTTACCAATTAGATTATAAGTTGTTGACAACTAAAAGGTTATGTCCCTGGTAAGGACCTGCATATTCGATGTGGATACGTTATTAATTTTCTTCTCGCAAGGGAGGAGGGTTGCTTTTTATTTTCGCATACGAAGAACACGCTTGTACAAAATAAGGAGTACCGGTACATTAATTGTAAGTATGGCATAAAAATGTAATACGGTGAATGCACATCTACATATATGTACAAGCAAGTTCAGAACAATTACCGTTACTACCGATCGACCAAATGTAGATCATTACAACACGAGAACCAAGATGCAAAATGTGCAGTTCACATACAAAAGCATGTAAATATTGTAATATGAATATACGATGTAAATTTAATTCAATACATTAGTCTAGCAAATACATTCATTTTGTCTCTTTTAACTACATTCTCCTAAATAGACCTAGTCACATCTTATTTAAGTTCGCCTCGCAAAACTGAATAACTGATTTCGCTTTAATAAGCTTAGAATATTTCTTGTTTCAATTAGGTGAAAACTGCTTCACATTCTGCTGCCCACTTAAAAACCATTTTGTCTTTCAACGAATGTCGTAAAGGGGCTGTAATTGTCTAGGTCTCTAGAATAAATCTGCTGTAAAAGGTTACAAATCTTAAAAAAGGTTTTGTTTCTTCTCTTGATTTCGGTCTCAGCATTTCCGAGATGATCTAGATCTTTTACGGTAATTTCGAAATTTTGTTTAACCCGACGACGTGTTCTAGAAACTCGATTAACTTTCAGTGACTCACATTTTCTGAACTGGTCGAGACACCTGATTAAATTTTTATTATACTCTTTTATTATATATTTTTCTGTTTCCGATATATCTCTCCAAGCTTGGCTGGTGAAACGATTGAATTTCGATGGAGTCATTTTAATTTCAAGAGAGAGACGATTCACTTTGTACGTTCCTCAGTGAGCTAATATAGTTTGTATTTCACATAATTGCTCGTCTACTTGGAGATGGAAATTTGGTTACAAGTCGAAAGAATGTAAAAAGAAATACAGCATATGTCCCAAATGCAGAGAAAATTACAATGTAAAAGTGACACTGAAATATGTGTAAACTGTGAATTCTTAAAAAAAAAATGAATAATTATGTTATAAAACCAGAAACATTTATTTTAATTGGAGACTTACATATAAATTTATCAAAAGGATCACTATATT